GTTCAAGATTAACAGATCACCACCTTGAAAACACTTTACGCATCAGTTGTTCTCCAAGAGTACCAGATTTTAAAAAACTAGCTCAAGAAAAGAAATGTCATTTTTCTCATTAATACAATTTTGTTATTATTAGTATGAATGTATAATTACTTTATAAATAATTAAATACTTTGTCTTAAAATGTGTTTTTAATACAAAAATAAATACATTAATGATAAAATTAAGTTTAAGATTTTTTTGGCCCTCGAAATTTTTTTTTTTTAAATATTTGGACCGCCATATAAATTAATTGCCGACCCCTGCTCTATAGTAAACCCGCTTCCTCTACCGGTATAAGTTTCTTCCTCGGAAAGCAACTTAATATAAACCCTTACAATAATCTTATCAATATTGCTTTCCGAAAAAACTTCAACCGCCGATGTTTTAAACGCCCTATTTACGGACGAGTTTGCGATGTTAGATCGGTTATAGATGCCCTCGAGTTTCAAGCTAAATTTTATTGGATGTTCCTGAACGCGAGTTTTTAGTATTACTGACAGAGCCGGTTTGAGTGAACGGAGAAAGTCGATGTAACTTTGAACATAAGTCAAATTTTTTGCGAAGTACCAGGTGACTTTTCGAGCGGCTGACGACGAGATTTCTACTAACCCAGGGGTCTTCACCATATTCATCCTCACTTTTTTTGCTTTAGCAACCGACGTGGTATTCGCGGTGGAAACGCGTTTCCCGTTAACTGATGTGGTATAAGTATCTTTTAAAAAAAAAAAACCTAATTAATATCTAATGAAAATAAAATACCCACACAGCATTTGGAAAATTATAATATCCTTAAAATATTTTTTAATGGTTAATAAAACAATATTTATTCAAAATTATTATATATAATATGTTTAAGTTGACATAATTTTACCTCAATGGTGTTTGGCAAGTTCAGTACGGGTTTGTTTCAATTTGACTAGTTAAAATGTTTTATAAATCATGTTTTAAATTATTTTAAAAAATGTGAAATTCAAGACCAAAAAAATATTGCTGAACTATTTTCTAATTATTTATGCAACTTTTTAACGATGATCTAAAAATATTTTGCCAACTAAATCATTTTCCTGAAAATATTATTTTTTTATATTTGGAAAATATTTTAATGCTATGTGGGTAAAGTATCGAATTCTATTAAAAATCTAATTAGCCTCGCAAGTGATAAATAAATTGGTTTATCTTTTAAAATATAATATGACGTATGTCTTTGTGTAAAAATCCACGATGGATAAATTAAAGTCACCGGTCTTTTAAAAATCTAATTAATTTGGGTTTAAAAAAATAAAACTAACCTGTAATAGTGTTATGTTTCTCATATTCGTCTATTGCAATCATACACAAATCATCCTCGGATAACTCATTCGATCCGCCAGCCGGGATATTGGGAAAAAAATTTGAGGTGCGATCTGGATATCACCTTGGTTTACATGACGGACAATACGAGGCGCAAACTGTATGACACTCTGTCGAGTGGGTTGAGCAACAATCGGTGCAGCAGGTTGACGATACCTTTTAAAAATAAAAATTAATATTGATTCAAAAATAAATCATATAAACAATAAATACGTAATATGAATTTTCTTCATATGTTTACTGAGGCCGGTTTTGTATGAAAATGACGAGGAGCAAACGGTACATGGAAATCGTACACCCGCATGCTTTTTTTGGTGAGCGATAAAATTGTATTTACGTGTAAAGGTGCGTCCACATTTGAGCAAATTTGTTTGTGCGTTGTATTTTGAATTTTGACGAACACGCGTGCGTCAAAAATTAGACATGTTTGGACCGGGTGAAACATGCTTGTGCGTTGCGTATGAGTTCGAGGCGTACAACGCACATGATCCAAACGTTTGTTGGTCTCCTGGTCAAGATCAAACGAATTTGTGTTGTGCGGTGTTCAGTTTGGACGACTTTATTTTATCACGCACATTTTGTTACGCACGCGGCACGCTCATAGTGAATAGTACATCATAGTACATCTAACTTTGATATTTTTTCAATTATAAATTCTATTTTATTTATCAATGGAGTGGTGCCAAGATGATTGTCTCTTGCTTATACAAGAGTACGAAAAACGTACTCTGTTATGGTATTCAAAAGACCCATATCATTTTTCAAAAACAAAAAAGTATGATGCATGGTGTGAAATAGCGAAGGAATTGAACACAAACCATGATGAGGTTAAAAAAAAAATAATATAATAATATAATAAAAAATCATTTAATTATGTATTATATTATGATGTTTTTTACCTTTACGTCATCTTGAAGTCCTTCAATAAGTGCTTTACAAACTTCTGGAATAATTAGCGATATGATTTGTTTGGACTTCCCAAAAAGGTACTGTAAACTTGTGAACGAATCTCCTGTTGCAAGAAAACATAATGTAACAGCTAATCTTTCTTTAACTGTAATTGCTCTCCGAAAATGAGTATCATTTTTTTGTATTTTAGGCCCCACTAAATTTATTAAAAATTCAAAGTCTTCCGAAGACATCTGAAAAAAATGTTTATATTGTCCAGTGCTTTCATCAAATTTTAAGTTGGATAAGAGACTTGAGCTATGGTTGTTTAATTTATTTTGGTACAGCCTTGTAATCCACCAACGTCTGTGCCGAGGTTTCTTTTTATTTTTTTTATTTAACGACTGGTGAATAACTATGAATGCTGCGGCTTTTTTTTTTTTCTTAATATAATCTCATTCATAATGACTGAGATTTTTAAAAATAAATAATAAAATAAACTAAAAAATATACAAAAACCACGGGTACAAACTACAGAGTTAGTAGGTACAGAATGTTACTACAACACAATGTTTTGTAATTTTGCACCGCACCGTCTGAGCGTCAAAATTCGACGCACGACGCATAGTAACAAAATATAAAAAAATTAAGGCAAACAAGTGTGCGTCGAAAATAAAATACAACGCACACACAAATTTGCTCAAATGAGGACGCACCTTAAAAGAAATAACACACTGCTCGCAATTAAACATTTTTTAAAATATATGAAAATATAAAAACACTATGTTAGGTGTAAATAAAATAAATTTTTTTTAAAGACAGAACAAAAAATATATGCACGACGGTTCAAGACTTATTCAGAATATATATTATTAAAATGTTAAAAAAAATAACATAAAGGTAAAAGTAACCCTAGAGGTTCTGCTTATTGACACTGATATAACAACACTACTTTAACAAACAATAAGAAATTTTACATTTTCATACGCGTTTTGTCGATCACCTGATGACCCTATGAACATTTTTCACATAGGTAAACTTGATCTACTTAAAGTATTTATAGTATTTTACAGTATACACCACGCAAAGGCTTGACATATGTAACAGACATATTTCGATTATTGAGTCTCAGACCGTCAAAGAATAAATATCGATACCTTTTGGTTAAAACTTATTTAATTCTCCTTTGATAACCACGATAACGAGTACTGTACAAAAGGGCAAATTAACAAGTACCACAGGATTTATACTTTATAACTCTGAAGTATTTTTACTCTCGAACAACTGACCACGATAACGAGTACTGGATGAAAAAGTAAGTACAGAAATATCTTGTTACTTTATAAGTGTTTTATCACCACAAACGCTTCAGTACACATACTAGGAAAAAAATGACAAACAAATATTTTATAGTTTAAAACCAAATTAGATTATAATAACTTCAGTCTCACAATAAAACACATAATTTACTTTTAAATAAAAACTTGTCGTTATCCGCGACACCCCAAGACTGATCACCGTTACTGTTGCCTTATATAGGTTTTGAAATTTAGATGACGTCAATCATTTAATTTTGTCTTGTATGTAATTGATTGCAAAATATTAAGTTTCAAGCTAAAATATTTTGTGACCATCCCATATATAGAACAATACAACAGACCTGTTTTTAATTTTTTCAAAAATATTGTTTTGAAATTTGAATTTGAAAATAAATAAATTTGAAATTTAGGGATTTTTTGTTATTGTATTAATATCACTGTAGAGGTTAGATTGGTGAGAATTTTGTTTTTTGACATTGGCACCAATGAATTTGGAAATTTGATTTTTATTTCTTATCAATGAGGATAACTGATCCAAGCCCTTAAATCTATGTGTTATACCCATATTTATGATCAGAGTCGTCGCGACAGTCGGCATATGTAAGTATCGCGATGCAATAATTACTGACATTAATCATACTATTTCTATCGGAAAAACAATTTGACATACAACACTGCAGTGGTCAGTTATAAGAGTTATAAGTTAGTGCCGTGTTATAATATTATTTCGCACGTATGACGTAAAACATCAATAAAATCGTGAGAAATAAAAATCTTTCTGCAGTTAACGTCTCTGCCACGATACGTGTAAAAGCGAACAAATTTAAGCACGACATAATACTATTTATTTATAATAATAATAATAATGACAATAATAATAATAGTATTACAGTGTTAAAAAATGTACGATGTATGGTTGGCTGTGGCGAATGGTCGTTGCCGCGTGAAACGACAACACGTAATCACCACATTGCCTGCACGCCAATGTTATGTGCTGGACGTTGTCACGGTGGCACCCACGTATATGCGTATAAATTTGCACTTACGTGAACCTTCCTGTATACAGGGTGATATTTTTAAAAGTCCTAAATTAGGTTACATTACTGGAAAAATAATTATATGTATAACTGTATATATATATATAACTGTTTATATACAGTTAACTATAATTATAAATATTTAAAATATTATAAAGACCTAAAATAATTGTGGCTATAACTCCAATGTTGATTTATTAAGAATTAAAATAGCCCTTAAAAAATGCATTATTTTTTTAAATTTAATGCAAGTTTAATAATTTTTAATACAACTTTTTCTAAACATCATAATTATCATCTTCGGGATTTAAATACAAAATTATTGATATTTTTGTGTGAAACTTACTTTTCACTTATTTTTCCTTAGTTATTTCAACCCGTTTCGAGTCATGAGAAAAATTCACCCCGTACACCCTTTCACCCTCCGCCGAAGCACGTACCGAACACCTACGCGTGTGCCTCCAGTGTTAATAACAATGACGTATTACACACGCACTGAGCGTACAATTACAATGACCGGCTGGCGACCGCGCTCGACGTTCCCCGGCGGAAGCGTACGACGAGTAAGCCCGAAATCATTTACCGCGCACGGGCCAGCCACGGTTGCACTGCGACAAAGAGGTTTGCACGATTCGCACACGTGTTACCTGTTTTCGCACAGACGTTCCCCCGGAAAACCAGCCCGCAGGAACAGGACACCTAGACCACAGAAGGAGGACGCGCCTGTCCGTGCGGTACACACTTCATTGCAACGGTACGCGCGCGTGCATTGCGCATACCGTACGCGGGTCGCGGGTGATAGAATATTTCGTACTCGGTGAACGACGAACGACCGCCATCCTCCCTTCCCCAGACGTGAGAAACGATCTCCATCTTGCCGTCGCACGAGTTCGCGCGATCATGGGATGCGCCGGAAGCAATCCTCTGCCCTCGGGCGACACCATGCAGTCGACCGCCAGCAACGGTCGAGCGGTCGCGGTCGAACCACCGACGACCGCCGATGGTGACCACAGAGCTGGCTCGATGGTGCAAAAGGTTATCGGCAGTGTCAACGTCGACGACGTAGTCAAGAAGATCCAAGGTACATAACGGCGCATGTAACACTCGTGTATCGTCCGTCGTGCCCGCCGCGCTCAAGCGCGTAATACATGTATCACGTATACATAATAATAATAAGCCGTGGATGATCGTTATACATCATTGAAGTGCATACTCGTTACTACACGCTAGCATGACTGCACAAATGATCATATTTTTTGTTGAGGATGAGATCATAATCATCTTATAATTACGTAGAAGTCAATGTTAGATTAAGTCATTTATCATTTAGTCGTAGGACCAACATTTCAATGTAGCCCTTCGGATCTTTTCTCCGTCCGTAGAATACACATAAAATGAACATCACACCAGCGCCGAGCGCACTGTCGACATATTATTTAGAATCCACGCGACACGTGGTCATGATTAAATATAAAAAGTAACAAAAGACATCATAAAAATATTGAGAAATTCCACCCATGTGTTGAAATAGTATTATAGTATAGTATAGTAGTATTGAAAATTAAATCAGCTATGGTTCAGAATGACTAATATTTGACTAAAACAATTTGGTTTATGCTTACAAAGATTAAAATATTAATATTTCCTTTTTTGTATATGGTATAATTATATATATATATATATATATGTTTGAAGTAGAAGGTTGACGAATTTTGATGATCAATGTGCGAATAAAGACATCAAGGGTGAATTAATAGTATAAATATGGATCGGAAACATGTATAAAAATCAGTATGTTCTTAACAGAGATTCTATGTGAAAATACATTCTAAAAACACCTATAATGTGTCCGGAACATCAGGAAACAATTGAAGATAAAAATATGTCTGAAAAAAAATATAATCCGAGTTATACAGATAAATAATAAATGAAAACATTTCCAATTCTAATCAATTTTTTTGTGGTCTTAGTAAAATAAATTGCTTCAAAAACGTCATACATTATTGTATTCAAAGAAGTTTAGAAATCGCTGCTTTAGGCTTGTTATAATATTTTTTTTTATGTATAAATTGTATAATAATCTAAATTAATAAAATAATATTATTTATTATTCTCTACAATTCCTTTTCACTACAGGTATTATATATTATTCGTTTTGAGATTGGAATCGTAAAATAAAACAAAACTTAAGAATCAGGTACTAGAGAACAAAATTAAAAAACAAATGCATTATGTAACGTTTTCCGAAATTATAATATTTTTAAAAAACATGTATTTTAGAGTATTCAAATCCAAACTCTTTAGTAGCTTAAGTTAATAATAAATCTATCTAATGCCTAATGCTTGCATTTTATTATATTTAAATACAAATCTTCATTGTTCAACAATTCCATAATTTAAAACGTGGATATAATGTTAATACGTTATATCCACGTTAGGTTAGTAACTCATTATTAATTCTATTAATTACTCATAAATTATACTCATACTCCTATAGCACTACCACGAATTTAAATTTATACACAGAATTACCCTTATACTTTATGTTACCGATTATTCATAATATCTAAATAAATAAATTAATAAAATCAATCATCATCATGTTCCCAAGGATATTTTTTATTGATTAACGTAATATATGATTATAGAATACATTAATATAAAGAAAAAATTAATGGGAAAAGTTCAAAATTTAGACGTGGATTAAATAAGGAGCGGGGAGGGTAAGCCTCCCCATTGGTCATATTAAAATGTAATATTTGATTGGATGTTTGTCAAATTGCAATATTTTGTCTCGATGTAATTCCCACTTGGAAAGAAAACGAGAAAATAGAAATAATTGTTTTAAAAAATATTCTAAGTCTGTTCAAATTGCCATTTAACTGCCATTTACCCCCAACTTTATTTATCATGTACTTATGTGTAATTATAACTTAAACTTTAATTTTTAAAAAAAACGGATGAATAGAAACTGATTAGTTCTAGATTGTAATATTTTTATATCCAAGTAAACATTTTATCAAATTGGGGAAGGTGACATAGTGAATATTAAACATTAAATAAAATAATTGTAATTTAGGATAATCAAGTGAATATATTTTACATCTTTATATGGCATTTAAAAATGTAAAATGTTTATTCGGATATAAAAAATATTTCAACCCAGAAACGAATCAGTTGTAATAACCATATGACAAGATTTTTTTTCTTCTTCTTGAGTATTACCGGCCACTAGAACCATCCCGTCGAATAACTAATCCTCCAGGTCTCTCTGTCCGCTACTTTTATTCTCCATTCTGGACCACCGTTAAACGATTCCATGTCTCTTTTACTATATCTTCCCATCGTTTCCCTTCGGTGGACAAACAGAGGTGCCCAAGAGGCCTCATTCCTTGTGGTTTCTCTGCCAATACCATGTGCAGCAGCCGGTTCTGACTACGCTACGCGTGACCAGCCCACTTAAGTCTCCTACTCTGGATTATATATGTTTGGCTTCTGAAAAAGATCCTCCAGTTCTTTGTTTTTCCTTATTCTCCATCCTTCAGTTATTTGGTATTTTACTAGATAAAAAATCTTTCTTAGGATTTTCCTCTCTAGAATAATCAATTTATTTTCCTCCGTTTTTCTTAATGTCCATGTTTCTGATCCGTATGCAATTATAGGGCGTAATAGTGTAGCATATAATTGTAACTTAAAGTAACATAAAGTGCATGATAAATAAACTTAGGGATACATAGCATGCAATTCGGACAGACCAATCTAAGACGTGGTGCGATTCGGACAGACCCTTCTAGACGTGGCATGCAATTTGGATGCAGCCGTATCTAAATATATATACTTTTTCATAACCCACCCATCTTGTTAACATAAACTGAATCAACGTCTGTCTGTATTGTTCTTCTCCAATTTAATTATAATCTAGAATTTATACATGATCTAATTACCTATAGCTAGTCTATTAATATTACAATATTTTGCATAATATATATAATTATAAGTATAATAGGTTGTACTTTATTATATATACTAACATGATTTATGAAAAAATAAAATAAGGCTGAGTACTAAATTAACTATACTTCGGGTCTATATGGACGGTTTTGATAATTACACTACGAAAATTACATACATTATATAATGTATATAAGTTATATATTAACCTGGCTTTAATCTGGACCAAAATGGGTATTTCATTAATTTTTAAATTTTTTTTACTATCGATAACCTGTCCCATATATTAGACACTAAGACTACAATCAGAGGTGGATAGGTAGTTTTTGTTACAGGGAAATATTTTAATGAGGCCACCAAAATGAAAAAAAAAATTGCTTTTAAAAAATGTATTATATTTACTCATCTTAATTTAATTTAAATAATTTAACTATAAAAAAAAAATAATAAATTTACAAAAATGAATGGTATCGAAGGGGGCCACCGACATAATATAGAGCGAGAGCTCACAGGGAAAATCCGTTTTTCCCTATGGGCCTATCCACCCCTGACTATAATATTCATAAAGGAAAAAAAATGCTTATATTATATTACAGATCCAAAAAATATTAATTATCTATTTAATAACATAAAGAAATAATAATCAAATCAGAAAATTTCACTACCCCAACAGCAATAAGATTCACTTAAATATAAAATCAATAGAAAAATAAACAAATATTAAACAAATAATACCTAAATAATAATTAATCTTCGGCAGCAAAGAGGAATTATCACTGACTGACAAACTTACAATTGATCAAGTCCTTGAAATATAACAAATATAACATCAAAATTGGCAATGTACTATTTAGATTTTATCTCATAATATTTTACAAGTAACTCGTTCGGGTTGTTCTGTTATTTTAACTAAAAAACAGTAAAAAATATTTCTTCATTAGTTTTTTGTTCAAACATTAAGCTTCATAAGCATTAAAACTTTCAACAAATAATGACTATTGATCATCTGTTCAACTATTTTAAGTTGAAAATAATCTTAATGCATTAACGTTAACATGTCTAACTCATTTATGGTAACTCATATGTTACCATAGTAACAATACTTTAACAACCTCAAAGTCTCAAAATTTAATTGGATAACCCTATATGCCAGAGCTCGTATCCGTTTAGAAATAACATCAATCTTACTAGAATGGTAGAATGTGTTGGAATGTGGAAAAGTAAACCATTTAAGTAATTTGACCATTTGCATATTTCCTATTAAAAAGTTTTCAGTTGAAAGAAAAATAATTATTTTTAGATACAATAAAATCTAAATACGTACAACACAACATGTTGTATATAATATTGTATCTTAATAACACTGTTATGTTATAAATATTTTTTTACTTGTTTCCCTGATGTGTCAATTCTATACTGCGTAATTATAAGTAAAATAGTAAAGTATAAGTTATTTGTTTTTTTAAATACATAAATACATTGCATTACATTGTATTTATAAAAAGCTTATAAGTTTGAAGATTCAAATGGTTTTTTAAATTTTAAAAACAATTTGAAAAATTTGATGACTGAAGTTATTAAGCCAAAATGTATCACAAATTTTAATTTAATATTACTTATTTTAATCAATGGTTTATGAAATTTTAGCTGCTACTATTAAATGTCATTCATTTTATTACTAAATTCGTCAACACTAATATCAACATTTATATTAGGTTACCGAATTCAAAATTTCTATTAAAAAATAATATGATAATATAAATGTATCTTTATTTTATAATTTTCTATGATCATTTTCATTATTTCAGTACCTAATTACCAAATAATTTTGATTGAAAAACTTTTTCAGTGACAAGTTTACTAGAAAAAACTGAGTTTCAAATAATATATGTACCTAAAATTTTTGGATTAAAATTTGATAGATTTATTTTTACAATTTACGGTTTATATTTTAAAGTCATAAATATGCTCAATATTTTTTACTCTAAATATGAACAAAGTTATTTTTTTACTAACTAATATTAAAATGAATACAAAAGCCAGTATATTTTTATATATTATTTTTCGAGTATATTTTAAAGTAATCTTTATGCCAACAAAATAAATTAAATGTTTAAAAATATTATTTTTAAATGTAATAAAACTTATTTGAAAAAATAGTGTACAATATAAATTAAGAATTTTTATGCATAATTAAATGACTTATTATAATATAATAACATTTAAATTAATTTTTATAAATGTTTATTAATATTAATATATACTATATAAATAATATTTATTTACCCCATATTAAATATATGTTTAACACTGTTTCATACTAAATAGTAAATACAGGTTTTTTTTAATAATTAGAAACACAACCTTTATACTTCACGTAGTCTTACAACAATTATAAACTATTTTTTTTGTATAAAATTATTTCATTTTTGTAACAATTCATTGAAAAAATTGTGTGAAGTTTATTTATTATATCAACTTAGAAGAAATGAAATAATAATATCGATATTATCCCCGAATATATCACTATAAAAAATATTTTAAGTGTGCAAAATTAATTTTCGAGTATGCACCTAGCTTTTTCGAGTACGATAAATTAGTCCAGCTGGGTTTTATAACAATGTCTAGTTTGTGTTCTGTGGTACTCATATCCATCATTTTTATTAGCCCCTGATGTAAAATTCTAGATTTGCACTTGCCAGCGGTGCTTATAATGCTTTTATAAATCAAATGTAGTATTTACCATAATATGGTTAAACATATTATGTTTGTTAATTACCTTTATTGGAATTTTCTATATACTAATTTAAATAGTTATTTTAAAGAATTTTCATTAATCCTACAGATTTATACATTTTCAGAAAACTTCTAAAAACTAATTTCATTCCTAAATTTTAAAAGTTAAATAAATTACACAATATTTTTATAAAGATAATTTAAAGGTGGATGAACATGAAACAAAAAATGTTCAAAAATAAATGTTTTCAATAATATCTACCTATAGATATAATAAAAATGTAAACATATATATTAATAAATAGTTTATAATTTATAGTACCTAGTGATTAGAATACTGATATTTGAATTATTCAGTATAAGTTTAGAGAAAATAAAATAAAAATATTAAGTCAACTTTATGTCAATATATGAGCATTTTCTTAAATTATTATTTTCTACACAATTTTCGATTTTATAGTTTCACTCGTATGATACATCAATATTAACAAAATTTATTAAAAATAAGAATATTTTATTTCAAAATACATTATAGAATTTTATAATCAACTTATTTAAAAGTCTACGCATAGATAATTATCATCATATTATATTTATTATTAAAATATATTTTTATCAATGTTTAATATCAAATTACAATTAATTTAACCATATAATACAAGTACATGCAATATAATATTATTCAGGATAATTATTTCATTCACGATAGACTTTTGGACAAATCAATATATTTAACGCTCATTTGGTGTTTCTGAACGACTAATATTAAATAAACACTTAAAAAGTTCTATTGACAATTACTCACACCTACGCATACATGCAAATATTTTTAATTCCATGTGTTACGCACACTTCTATTGTGTCATTTTTGTACATTGTCAAGAGACTATTAAATGGGTCAATTGCTAAGGAATCAGAAGAGGGATTGGTCTAACTCTGAAGGATGGGCACACGCGTCCCTATTCTGACAAAACAACCCCTCAACAAAAGGTTGCGTTTCAACGAATGGTTATGATAAATGAAACCTTTAGTTAAAGAGAAACGAAAGAACAAAAAAACAGGACATAAAAAAACGCCTTAGATACAATGTATACACTTTTATATTGTACTATTTTTTTATCATCAGTTCTCAAAACAGAAATTTAATTTTGATATGTTGGTATGTTTTATGTTTTTTCAACTTTCATCAAATACATTTTAAATAAATTATATTTGCATAGTTATCACTATTACTAAAACACTATTGAAATTAAAATGAATTTAAATTTATAATGTAAGATATTAGAAAATAAAATTTTTAATTATTTAAGCATACAAACATTATTTAGAAATTCATGTTAGAGAGATATTTACTGTATCCATTTGCTCATTAGAACAACTCAATTGAATATCCACAAGTAAAACTTTAATTTACTCTAAATTTACAAACAATTAAATGTATTTTTATTGAACCCATAAATGTATATTAAATAATCAAGTTTTTCTGTAATTTAGAAACACGCGCACGTACATCTTATGTAGCACGTATTCTGTAAAGTTCTTTACTAAATTTAATTTAGGCAACTATTCCGTATTGTAATTAATTTCATCATAAGTTATTCATTTCTTATGGATGTTATAAATAATAAAATTATCAAGAAATAAATCAACACCAGTATTAACAAGAATATTCGATAATCCTCTGGTCACAACTAAATTTAAATGTGCTCATATTTATTTGGGAAATTGTTTTATTATCTTTATAAAATACATAGTTATAATAGTCAGTCATTGTATTTTATTAGTTATTATGAAATTAAGCCTTGGCTTGTAAGTCACTGGGTGGCATATACAATTCAAAATAGTTCATAGCTAACTATAATACAGATAATAGGTAGTATAAGTAGTTTCATAGAAAGTTATTTTACACTAAATATTTTATCAAAATTATGATTTTAAGTTATAATAACCCCATAGGTACTGTTTAAGGTTCTTTGTGCAAGAAAGCCACAGCTTCTTTTATTTTTGTTTCTGATATTCTAAAGTAATTAAAAAATAATTCATAATTTAAATATTCAATATTTTTATATATTTCTAGTATTATATAATTTTAATTTTAATAATAATAAAAAACATATTTCTAACTGATAATCGTGTTATTCTTTTGTTTCTTATAGTAATTATTAACTATCATAATCAATATTGAACTTTTAGATGTCACTGGAAGTATGGAAAATTTGATGGATGATACTCAAGAAAAATTAGGTTCGTTATTTGGAAAAGTAGAAAAAAAAGCTGATGATGTTGAAGAAGAAGTCAAAGATAAAGTAAATGATGTTACTTCGGCCATGCCTGAGTAAGTGGCGATAATATTTTTAGATACTTGTAAAATTATTTTTTTATACATTATGAACCACGATAAATTAAATATATGTATAATAAGTATAAAAAGACAGATTCCAGTCCATTTCATCAAGCTGTGTACTTAGTATAAATCGATTATCTTCTTAACCATTATAACATGTATAAGTTAATTAATTGTTATCCTAAAGTGTACACTATACAACTATATTTATTTGTGTGTTGAATGCATAGGCTAATGTAAAATTGATCTGTCGATCACAAAACAAATTAAAATTATTAAATATAATTATTAAAAATTCGTATATTTTGTACATTATATTGTTATTAACAATTTGTTAAATAATATTATTTACCTATCTTCAAAATTATTATATGTTTCTAACATACTAGTATTAATATATAATACATCACCTAATAGCTTAAACGAGTATGATTTATCAAAATAATTATAAAAATTAATACAAATATATAACATAGTATAATTATAATTATATAATTGTAAATCTAAGCAAAATATACTTGTATACTGGATATCACATGCGTTTTAAAAAAATAATATGATCACAAAAAAATATTTAAAGACACTTTCAATAAGTGTTAATTATAATGTAATATATATGAGGTTTAATGAACTTAGTAAAATTCGAAAATCAAGTACTATTAAAAGAAAAAAAATTTTCAACAAAATATTGTTGTGCTTGCTTAATATGTACAAACACCAAACTGTGGCCTGTTAAGTGTTCTTAAATCGAAGAAAAGTGAATTTTAATTCATAAAAAGTTACTTTTTATTGAAATTGTTGTAAGGTTGAATCGTTAAATCAATTTTTATAATATATAAATTTTAATTGGTCTTTAAATATTTTATTTTATATAATATAAATTACGTGGAATTTTAGATATTTTTACTGTTTCTCACAATTCCATGCAATTTCTATAAATGCATTAAATCATCATGCAATAACAAAGGGTTATTTATACTAAAAAAATAAAATAAGTTAAATATAACTGAGCCATACAAGTATGTAAGTGTATTAATATTTAATTTAAAAAAATTTAATTTCTATATCAATGTTTACATTTATTAAAATGTATGCTCTCTGATGTTTTAAATATCTAACAAACTTATTTTTAAATAACGATTAAATAATGTCTATGTCACATTAACATAGTGAAATTATTCATTTCATGAACTGGATATCCAGAGTCAGGAGCGTACCCAGAAATTTATTAGTGGGGGGGTCCAAAATTTTTATTTTATCTGATAATGGGAAATTAAAATACACTATATACTATTTTTATACTATTTACTATTAAATTTTTGAGTATGTAGAAATTTCAATGTGGAGTCCGACCCTAAAACCCCCCCTTGGGTACGCCCTTGTCCAGAGTTATAAAGAAAACATTCCAAATAATTAATTATAAAATAAAAATGGAAGCCATTTTAACAACTAAATAATATTATACGAATTATAGAATTTTAATTAAGTATCAGAGGCGAATTTGAGGGGGGGGGGGCGATAAGCCCGATTACCCCCCCCCCCAGATATGTTTGAAAATTACATTTTATGTTTATTGAACTTTTTTTTTCTATTTGAATCGGCGATGCCACTGCTAGACTTTAATATTACTTCCGTGATGCAGCCAAATGTTTGTTGAACTATAAGTGTTTCTAAATATTTTAATCAATAAATTAGTAATTTTTTTTTTATGAGACTTTTATTGCATTTAGGAATTATTCTAATTGATAATATTATGATCATTTTTCATAAATTTGATAAGAACTTTTTGTTGCCACATTATCTATGCTCGAAGTACCAATTAAAAAAAGAAATATATATTTTGTTTTATAAATGAAAATGTGCTTTGTTTTTTAAATGTATAAAAAAATGTTTAGAGTGGGTGGGGGTGGTTGACCCCTCTTAATATCCACCCCGCGCTGAAGTCTCAAATGCGCCACTGTTAGGTACTTACGAAATTTGAATGGAATTATAAAAATAGAGTACCCATGGGCGTAATTTGGAAATTTATTAGGGGGGAAAATAAATAAATGCATATCAAACGAAAAGGGTGTCCGCGGCCAGGGTTGGACTGCCTCTCTAGCTCGGACCGGACAAAATAATTTCAAACGGGCTCAATGGAACAATAAGTACAATTATACATGGAATAAGTAGGTACCTAATAAAATTATTTTTTAACTGAAAATGTATCTTCGTAACTCAAAAAACAATATACACACAAGTACATTTGAATATTTTCAGATTTAATGTTATACCTTAAATAGATCTAGTTTACGCATAATATATCTTATAAATAATATTGATATAATGATTTACCTACCTATTAAGATAAATTTTACACCATAAAAAATTTAAATATGTTTATACATTTAATTTTAATTGAGTTAGAACAGTGGGGTCGGCAACTAATGTCTCTTTATTGCGGCCCGCAGTTAATTTCAAAACTAGCAAATGTCATTGAATATCATATAAATTTTTTATATTGTCTGATCCTAGAATCATTTTTAATTTGTGAATGTGGTCCAAAGGTCCATAAAGGTTGCCGACCACTGAGTTAGAACATATTGTTTTTAATAAAATAATTGCTTACCGGTAATAATTGACTTGAAGTCAACAGAAAAGTTGGAAACTAGTAACAGACTTGTTATTGACTGAATGTCAAAACTATTAAAATGTTTTTAAATAAAAGTCTAATAAATCTTATAAAAATTATTATTATCGAAAAACAATTTCGTTATCGCATATCTTGTACAACCGTGTCTACCCATACCAACATTTTCTTTTGGTTAAATATTGTTTGAATAAACGCGAATGGTAATTCGTATGTTTAACATATTGTACACATCTTTTGTATACAACAATTTTTCTATTTATAAATACTGTGATGAAATCACTGTTATCAATCGGTTTATCGTGACATTAAATATGTTCAATTTTCAAACTCCGAGTCATCTAATCCTGTGACACCGCATCCATTAGTAATTTCATGTTACAAGGCAATATTTTCTATTTTATTTTAAGAATAGAAAATAGACGCATTAAATTAAAAACAAAAAATCTAAGTAATTTTATTTAACCAAAATTACAGCAGCCCACCGAGGCATGCCTCGGTGCCCCGGTGACCTAGTCCAACCCTGTTTGCGAATAAATGCCGCTTTCCTACCAACATATTATTATACAAAATTATTCATATTCTAACATTATGTTAGATAAGCGAAAACTGAAAATTAAGATTTAAAAAAAAATTTATATAGTAATAGCTATAACCAGCTGTTTTGTACTTATTTTAAAACAAGGATTGTTAAATATCAGAATGGGCACTGCCCCTCCTTATTTATTCCAGGGGAAATTTCCCCCTCTTGCCATCCACCTCAGTTTACGTCTATGAGAGTATCTATCTGACAATTATTAAGAAATAATAAGTTTTGATTTACATTAAATATAAACACAAACGGAGATAAGTTCATAAAATTAAGCTTAAGATTAAGATTAATTAAGCTTAGATTGTAATGATTGTTGATATATCGTGTACCTATGCATATAAAAAACGACTCGAGTCCTTAAATATAATTAATATATGTTTCTTTCTAATAATTAGAAACCATAATTATTATGGTTAAACATAAAATCTTTAATTAGAGGATGAATTATAGAACAAGTAAGAACATAAGTTTTTTATGAGGACAACAATAAACACAAAACTACAGGACTGTAATCTGCAACTATAAACTTAATTGTAGGTGATGGGGCTGTTTCAAATTATTAACGCTCGATATTTTATGACAAAATACTTTTAATTACAATGTTAAGATAGTACACCGTAAAATGTAATCGACCGTTGTTTATCTGTCGTAGTAGTCTTGCAAAAGCTGATTCGAAAGCTTTTCCGCCGTCGACTAAACCAGTTGACGATCGTGCTCCCACGGTCGTTGAAATAAATATCACGACATAATGACAAGTTATAAATTTCGATAAATGGATATTTTTATTAGCACTCATGACATGAGAGTTGAATCTGTGAATCATAGGCGTGCGCACGGGGTATGCAGGGTATGCCACTGCATAGTCTGCGGCTTCATGTGAGAGGCCCAATGGCGTAATCAAGGGGGGGCTAAGGGGGCTATAGCCCCTCCATGGGCCGTGTTTATATGTATAATGTATCTTGACTATTTAATAGAATCAATGGATGCTCGTTTTAATCAAAGGCTTATTGATGTTATACCACTTGAAGGACTTATTCCGGCCAATTTAAATATGTATGACGATAAAAATATTATAAAAACTGCTAAAATATATGTCCAAGATCTCCATGATGATACCTCATCTACAATCAGAGCTAACCTGTTCATATGGAGGCAACAATGGAGTCAAAATACTATTCCAAAACCGAATTCTGCTCTTGATTCACTCTCTCATCACACCAATCTTCGACCTAACATTAAAATACTTTTACAATTATTCGCCACGTTACCAGTTACCTCTTTCACTCCGGAAAGAACGTTTTCAGCACTTAATCGCTTAAAAATTTTTTTAAGAAGCACCATGTCGGAAAACAGACAGAATGGGTTAGCTATGGCTAATATAAATAAAAAAGAGCAATTCGATGAAAGTGAAATAATAACTGAATTTGCCAGAAATTCGCCTAAGAAGATGCAGCTGTCAGAGTGGAGTAAGTGACTGAATACTGAAACTAAAATTATTATTATTATTATTATAAATTATATATTAATAAATATTTTTAAAACTATACTAAAATGCTTGAATTACGTTTAGAAACTTGGTGGTAGATGGTGAGGGGGGGGGTAAGGCTGTATTCTAATATCCTCTCTTACCTTACTTATCCAAAAAAGTAGTTAGCCCCCCCCCCCATTTAAAAATCCTGGCTACGCCACTGGAGGGGCCCATATTTATTATTAAGTTAAGAAACTTTAAATTTAATTACCGCCACAGGAAATTTAAATCAATTAAAGCTTGATAGTAATGATATTTCAATATTGAAGGAAAAATTTAATTTGAATACTACATTTGAGTCTGAAATTAAGCTCATTACAAATATGTCTGATAGAACTTCTATTAGAGGGTTATTAACTAAAACAATTGTAGTATGGCTGAATTGGTTATCAGAAAACGACCGGAAAACAATATTTTCAAACTTCAATAAAGCTTTAACACAATTTGCAACAATACCTGTGACAAGCTGCTCGTGTGAGGGGGATTTTTCTAAATTGCCTATTGTAAAGTCTAAACTTAGAAACACTATGTTACAAGAACGTCTTGATTCACTGATGTTAATATTTATCGAGCAAAAGATGGCATCAGAAATCAATATTGAAGATGTAATAGATGAATTCAAAGCATGTGTGCCGATAAAAAGAAGACTTGAACTTTAGATTTTAAGTACTCTCCATAAAATAACAACATTATAAATATGTTAAAATTATTCAAAAGCATTCAATATAGTACATACTTGATCTTAAATAAATAATGAATTTTTTTTTAATAAATATAAATCAAATTTCAAACTACTTATTTCTACAGTGCATTGTTTAATATTCTACTGTAAAATTATGTGTGATTTTAGATTCTAAGGGAAGTAAAGAAGCTACGTAGTATATATGCAAAAACTTAGATTGTGACTTGAATCTTATATGCGTTAAAATAAAATGCAAATAAATTAAGGGAAGATTAGAAAATTTATTTGGGGCCCTATATTTCTTATTGCACAACCTGCGAATAAAGTCTGCGCACGCCTATGCTGTGAATACATTTATAAGTAATTAAAATTGTCTTTTAAATATATTTTTTGTTGTTAATTAGTATGTTAAACGATTTATAGTTATTGTTCTCATGAGGAAAATAAGTTATAGGTAACTCAATACATTTCTCTCAATTAATATAAGTATACAAAATAATTTCTGTAAATATTAGATTTTGATAAAATTGTAGGTACGCTATAAAATGTGAACAATATATATAATGCCAAACTATAACATTATTTAAATTTTTTATTAATAAAGTAGGTACGTTATTTAATTTTGGTAACAAAATGTTTTCTAAAAATATTACAGGCATATTATTTATCTATACTCCATAATTTCTACTATTTATTTGTTTCATAAAAATTATAAGAAATATAACACGGCAAATTAAAATAATGAGTTATCACATGTATAATAACTCATTTTAGGCCCATCAATTGAATATTTTTAATTTTTTTTTGCGATGAAATTGAATAATATTAAAAAATCATTAGTATTTTTTTTATTGAATATAACTTTATCATGCAACTTAATTATTTAAGCTTACAAAACCACAAAAAAAGTTGAAGTGTCCACACACAAGTGTGCGGCCGTACCTTGACCTTTGGCTGCAGTTAGACACGCAAGTCGTAGGTTAGTAATACTTAACACTAAATTATGTATAACTATTTATAATCAGCATTAATATATTTTATTACATAGTATTGACCTTTTAAATACTTGGGTACCTAAAAAAATTTTTATGTATTTTTTTTTTTAGAAAGTCTCAAGTTCACGAAATTATTCTCCTAACGGTTGAAGAAACTAGAGTCATACCACTTATACCAATTGACATAATGAATTCGGAAACATTGACTTGTGAAAATGATTCATTAGTTAATGAAGTAAACAATGAAGCCAAAGAAAATGTAGCTAACGAAACTAAGGAAGAAGTAATTAATGAAACAAAAGAAGAAGTTACAAACGATACGAAAGTAGAAATAACTAACCAAATAGAAGAACAAGCAGAGATCAAAGATGAAGACGGAGCAATTGAGAAAAGCGAACAACAAATCAAAGAAGATGAAAAAGAAAAAGCCAAAGACGAAGAAGTTAAAGAAGAAAAAGATAAGCCAATGGATGATGAGTAGATTAAATTTCAAAGTATATGTTAAGTATAATGATTGGCTCAAGAATAATTTTATATTACAAAAGAAATATGTTCTAAGTCCTATCATATGAAATTAATATAAATATATAACAAATAATACAATTATTTTATAGAGTAAAATATGAATCCATATACACTGTAAACACGCATAACATGTGTAGTACACATACTTACTGAACTGAAATCTAACATTGAAATTAGTTTTTGACTTAATACAAGTAAATGAAACATAGATATGTGTTATTTATACGAGTATGTTTAAGAACTTTGTACTTTGAATTTGATACGTTTTTACCATTTTTATACTGTTTTTCGTGATGGAATTAAATAAAAGTAGTAACTATATAAATTAATTTTAATTTTAAAACAATTAAATTAATAATAAATAGAAAAAATTATGTTCACATACTAATTATAAACCTATATAGAACAATAACTAATAAATACATCTTGACATTTTTTCATTTTATGTTACTAATTTAGATATTTTGTATTTATTTAAAATAACTACCTATAATATATTTTTAAAATGTAAATTCTTATAAAGTGATGGAATCGTATGTATATCCATCAGGGGAATACAATATATACCCGTAATCTTAACCACGACAACAATAACTTAGGTACATTATAAAATAACCTCGGTGGAAGTTCATGAAGTTTAACTAAAATAGTATTTTATTTTTAAATATTTGTTAAAATTTTGGAGATATTTGAACCTCCAACCCCCAACCCACAACCCCTTTGGTACCCCCCTGATATCCATGCTGATACTAAGATGAAACAAATTTTAAATAGTTAAGTATCTTATTTCAACAATTTCAATCTTACCGAAAATTTAGTTCAGAAAATAATAAAAATGATTTCCATATGCACACAGTTTAGATATATTAAAAATGATATTGTGTTATAAGTTTTTTATGTATTGCCTTTCTACCCTTAAATGTTGAACAATTTTAAACAATCGATTTTCATTAAATTATTACTTACATTTATTTTTTCGCTGCATAGGTAGTATATACATACATTATATATAGTATAGTACATACATTTTACCTGTGTATAGTATATAGATATTTATACATAATGTATCACACATAAATATGGTCTACTGACTACAACATAAACATTGTATATTTTAATGAATCATTTAAAATTACATTTGATACACCTAAATTATTTTATATGATTATTGGAATATCATATTATACACATTTTTGCATTTTTATATAATGAATATAATTATTTTACAAATACTCAAAAGAAAATGTAAGGTGACTTATGGAAAAATACTACAAATGTGGGATTTGGTTATTAATGCATAACAACACACCCCAATACTTAGCTATATTGATTTTTAAGGCTATTTCATGAAAATATAAAACAACTAGTTTGCCAGTTTTATTCGAATAAAATTAGATAACAATACTACCAATTATTATATCATGTATTCATATTTATGAATTTAATTCATTTCAATTTATTCAATGTTCCCATATATTATTCAGTAGGAATATTGATCGAGTGAATATTCTAAATGACAAAAATATAAATGTGCATAGTTATCTATGTCCCATATAATACTGAGTAAGGGATTTTTATTTTCATAAATATATATATACATTATTAAAGCCATTTATTCCTAATTTATAATATAGAAAGTAGAAATTAAGAAGTCTAGGATCAAAAGTATATTTTAAATCCATATGATGTAGGTGAGTTGACCTACACTATAAATATTATATCAAGTGCACCGTAGATGGTATTTCCGATCATGGAGGATGCATGACTCCTTGCTAAAAACATTAAAAATTTGATACATTTTATAATTTTTTTTATAAGCTAGTAAACAATGTAATACATTTAATTGGATATGATTTAATGTTTGTAATTTTTATGAACACAAACAACTTTATATTTGTTCATTTTTCGTAAGTACGTACATATTCTATGCATTTAAAAATTAAATAATAAAAATTAAAAATTATTAGATGATTAATATCTACTCGTTACTTAATATATAAATAAACAAATATATTTATAAAAAATTTAATTTTCTGATTCTAAAATATAATACAATTCATTTAAAGTTTATAAATTATTGTTTTAAAGCATTATAATTTTAATTAACCATGTAATAATTTTATTCTTTTATATTATTGAGTTTTTTTATTTTATACTATATTTCCTATATTATTGTATTACTGTATTAATTGTATATTTAAAATAAAAAATATAATTTTGATAAAAACACAAGTTAACATATAATTAGGTTAAACATCGGTCAGTTATTTCGGTTAGGTACACCTTTTATACAAGTTTACAGATAGGTACTAATATATGTATTAGTATTATAATTATATATAAGTATTAAATATATAAAGTATAAAATATATAAGTATGAAATGTCAATAATGTCAACAAATATTGGGAGTATTACTTATTCTTCATTTCTAAGTTTTATAAAAAAATTTACCAACTTTGTAAACTTATATTAAAGTACATAACCATGGTTATATCCGTGTAGATTAGTGAGCTCCTTTTATGAAGGTTTTAAAAGAAACTCACCCAAATATTATAAAGATCTACATATAAATATTTACAAAATATTATAACTATAAACTATTATTCCATACGAGGCAGAAATAAACAAATGTACAGTCATCTACATTTCAAAACCAATACAAGGCAACAGCAACGGCGATTGAGCAGTCGGGGGATGTCGCGGCTAATGACAAGTTTTGATTATTTAATTTTTTATTTAATTTTTATTTGAAGTTTATTATAATCCATTTTTATTTTAAATAAAATACTTATGTCTCATTTCTATTTTCAAATATTAAAGAAATATCAAATCTCTAGTATGTGTAACTACTTGAAATGTTTGTGGCTACAAAACACAAGTTGCAAAACGTTTCTGTACTTTTCTCATCCAGAACTCGTTATAGTAGTTAGTTGAGAAAGAGTATGATTTTGTCTAGGTTAAAGAGATCTCACCATCGAAACTCACTTTGATGGTCTAAGACTCAATAACCAAAAATATATCTGTTTTATATACCAAGCCTTTACGTGCCTTATACGACACAAACAACTACAATTGTTAGACTGGACACAATAAAAATGTATTTTATTGCCATTATTTTTATTTTCATTTTTTTTTGTTATTTTTTTTTCATATATTTTTTTATATTTTATGCTTTAGATAAGTAATAACTAAAAAAGTACCATCTTTATTTTTCAAACTTAATCTTATATCAGTTGAGTAATTATTTATTTTCTAGCTCCCTTTGAAAAATCCTCTTAAAAATATTTTTGGCATGGCTACAGAAAATATTTTGTTTATAAATATCTATTATTATTATAATCATTAATTTCTTATACCTACATTATTAAATACATTTATTAATAAAATATTTATTTTCTATTGTATGTAGTAAAAATTATTTTTTATCGTTAAATGTAGCTTAGGATAAAATAATTAAAATAGGATATTAGTAACTTATGATGTAGGTATTTTATTATATTGTTTTTAAAGTGTTTCATATGTCATCCGTATTACGATATGTATAATCAAAATATAATATATATATTTTTCGCAACTGCATACGTTTCACCAAATTTTTATTTGTTTATTGTAATTTAACATATAAATGAAAACAACTTTTGTTGATACTAGCACATTATGGAGTCAGACATTGCATGACTGGACATTAGAGCTGTGATAGTAGGTAACACCCACGCCGAAAACTTAAAGCTAGGATCAACTGCGTGTCGATGTCGAATGATATAATCTACTAGTACCAGAACGTTTTGAACCAACGAACTGAATAAGCCAGAGTAGGGAGCGATCCATCGAGTTACTTTCAAGCCTAAGCGAAACGAACAATCAGTGATCGCGTTTATCTGCAAAGCAGTCTACCGCTGAATATGTGCACTATACAACCGAAATCACGGAAATGAACAAAAACTATAGGTACCTACCTAAAAGAACTAAAAATAAGAACAAGAACCAATACCGAAAAGGGACGACTGAACCACGAGTTTTTCGCATTGGTCGTTACCCGTTGGGTCATCTTGGCTCGTGATGGCCTGGTGTAACAACGGATAAGGTCTACGAGAACAACTATCACATTGAACCAGCGACTTACAACCCAGAGACCAATGGCCTCCGTACAAACAACACATGTTGCTGTTCCATTTGTGACTGTTATTCAAGAACCACGTGATAAATTTAATACAATTTGACAATGCACGGGATCAAGTGGCGGAACTAGGAGGGAAGAAAACAGGGAATCCTCCTCTGACGTAAAATTGTAGCGGGTGTAATTTTAGTAGTAAGTTTTGTAGTATATAATTTATTGACTTCTAAATTGATAGATTTAAATTTGTTACTGATATGTTTAACACTCAATAAATATGATTGTAAACTAATTATTAAAAAACAACTGTAGGAAAAAGTATTTGATTCTTGGTCTTATGATAGGGTGTAATTTTAACATCTTCCACAGGCATAAAAACATTTAGTTTCGCTTCTGATCCTTATACAAAAGGCACACAATTCCGCTAACCCGGTCTCCGTATAAGTTAACAACGATTTCGACGAAGGTTTCTTAAAACAAGAAGTAAAATTCTTGGACTTGGGCGGTATTGAACTGGAATCACGAGAAGAGCATACACTCGAGTACTCTATTACACGACTAAACGAAAGATAACAGGTTTCTGATATTAGGAAAACAGGTCAAAAGCTACGCCTCAAAAAGCTTTACAGAATACAACGGACTCTGTGTTTCGATAGAAAATAAAATTAATTCGTCGAGACTCGTGGTTATTCATTGAGTGGAGGACTGACATTACTTCAACGAAAACCATTATAATTTGTTCAATTCGGAGTTTCGTTCGGCGATTTTGGTGTTGCTAACAATTTTTCAATCTTCAAAAACGCCATTAAACGCGGTGTTAGCGTTTACCACATAAATTGATAGATATCGCCAAGCAGGTATGCCGGTAATCAACACTAACACACTATTTTAAGCAGCCCATTAAATAGTTATTTATCTATATCGGTGTATCTATATAATAGTCAAAGTTTACAAGTAGTATTATGACTAGAGCGCGGATTTGTATGCACTTAAAAGTATCGAAATATGCCATATATTATGCAGTAAAAATCATGAAAATATGCAAAAAATATGCAAGAATTTTTTATTTATTTAAAACGTATAATTCAACTTATAAAAATTAATTACTTAAATAATTAATACAAAAAAATTTAGGGAATTTTCTGAACTTAATTTATTTTTAAAATTTTATTTATTATTAAAATAAATAATCATATGCATTTCAAGTTTATCTTCTGTGAAGCTGTGTCGTTTATCGGTTAACATATTTTTAAAGACTGAAAACGAACCCTCCATGTCAACCGAAGTTATTGGGGCATATTTGAAGCAAGTGGTATGTCGATAATCGACTAACACAGCAAGAGCGATTAAGTTTACGTTGTTATCGATTATTTATTTTATAACTAAATATATATATAAATTATTATTTAGTGACTATGAAATTTATTTTTAATTTTTCTACAAGACAAAATATTATTTTATATATTTTTTTTTTAAATTTTCACTTCAATATGCAATAAATTTTGAATTTTGCCAAAATATGCAAAAATATGCAATAACTTCTAAGTATGCAGAAATATGCAAAAAAAATTTCACTATAAGCTTCAAATTATGATGATTCGTGGAGATAACTGACAAAAATCCAAAAATATTGAAAGGAAAAAAATATACGATAGCATAGGAATCCGCGCTCTAATTATGACTATACCATCATACTTCGTACACAGTTAAATAATTTATATAACGAAGAAAAAGCAATCAAGTGAATCCAACTTCTTAAAAATATTAGTTTCTTCCACAATAAATATACTTACTCAATCAATGTATAATTGCCCTATACTCAAGATATATCTGTGTACATATAAATATTTGATACAATTTATTAAGCAATAATTTAAAACTAAATGTAGTTTTTTCAAATAAAAACAACAGAAATTAAAATTGCATTTTATAGAAGAGCTATCATATTAATTTTGGTACAAAAGGATAAAAAATTATGATAACTAAATCAATGTTATTGCTATATTTTTTAAATTTTTTTTATTTATGTTCTACTATATTTTTACTGTAGAGAATAAATTGTAAGTTGTTATAATTATATATTTTATTATTTTATTTTAATTTAGGTAGAATATTGTAATAATCTACAAACAAAATACAAATTAATATCTTATAATAAAAATAGCTAAACACTTAATATTCACTGGTATTACAAACAAAATTAATTTGTTCGGAATTTACTGTTAAAAAGATAATACACATATTGTATTGGCTTTTTAATGTTAACAGTAAATAATGATGCAACCAATAAGTACCGATTTTTATGTTATTTACACTAAATGCAGCAATGAAAGTACCATCTCATATAATGAGACTTTCAGTTAGGTACACTACAATAAAGGTAAATATTAAATTCACATGCTAGGTGTGTCAACAATATAAATGAATATAATTATGTTAAAATGATAAGATGAATCACACTGGAGGAAGGACTGTTTCCAAGAATTTCTTCAGATCCTTTAATTCCTGTAATAAAATATTTTATAATAAATAAATATTTTTTATAAATACGAAATATTAACTTGAGAAAAAAATTAAATAAAAATATATGACTTGCACTTAATTTTGAGATTATAAGAAATAAAAGAAAATAACTAGCATTTTGTGAACTTTTTACATTTACATACAACGCAATTTTTCCTTTTTTTCAACTTATTCAATAATTAATATAATTTGTTAAAAAATATACTTAGAAAAAAAGCTTCGACCATTCTCTAGAAGAAACGTTTAGAAATTATAGAATATTTACATAATTAAAATCGTCAGGGCCCAAGTCTCACAAATTTGTCATAGCTGAGGTATGTTTTTACTCAAAAAGTATACCAAGATTTTTTCATAATTGAATTTCTCTGACATGTGCTTGTGTATGTGAAAACATTGTACCCCGACCTCACCACAGGTGAGTCAAGCGATAGCGAAGTTCTGACCGTCCGTCACCGGCGCCACCACAATCCCACATATTACCTACCAGTTACACACTTGTATATGTATAACATTATAACCATAATTAGTAAGTTAGATAATGAGTAATAACTACAACTCAAAAATACAATTTAGTCGGAAATTCAAATAGAAAAAGTAATAACTTTATATGTTTAAATTATCACCGATAGATCCAACGTATACATTTATGTGGGGAGGGCAACTGGTGGCCCGCAGGCTGCATCGGGCTCATGAGCTTATTTTATCTGGCCCGTACTATATTTTAAAATTACATCATACAATTTTAAAGTTTATCGTCGATACTCTGACATTGAAATAATAATTGTTATTTAGTATTAAACATTTTAAATTTTTAAATATCATATGTATGTATAAGTATAGCTTTCAACTATAGCTGTTCTTACGGAACAATTTAAATATATATATAAATACTAATTAAAATTCATAGTTTGAATGACTTTTTTTTTCTATGCTCTGGCCCGCTAGATTTTAATTTTCTAAAAATTGGCCCTCTAGTAATATTGAGTTGTCAATCCCTGCATTATATGACCATACAGTATTATTTATTATAGTATTATATAGTATATTCACGATACCTACACAACTATTTCCTTTCAAACACACACAACGACTACGTCTATTGTTTAGTTCAATTCTGGTTTTTTATGTAATTTTAAATTACTGTTTTCTTTTTTCTTTATATTTCCATCGAACATCTTCAATGATTTAGTTTATAAATCTACAAAAGTATTGTTTTTTTTTTTTTAAATATTTGTTGTAGCATCTTTTATAATATCTACAAACTAAAAATATTGTTTTGCTATTTTACGGGTTTAATAATTATTATTCTTCAATTTAATAATTATAATAAATAATATACTTATATACTAATTAATGTATGTAAATATAAGTATAAACAATTAGATATTTTATTTATGATGCATTTTTAAAAATTAATGAAATGCATATTGTTAATATAAATTTTGTACCGAATGGCGAATTTAACAATTTGTGCATCAATTCCCAATCTTTTCAATTGACGTAAATAATGTGTACGTAATAAATAATAATAATATCAATAATATATAGTAAATTTATTAGAAAATTAAAATAGCGTTGTGTGTGGATAAGTCAATAGTGATTACTGATGAATATATGGTCAGCGGGTTGACGCAGGGGACAATAGTGTAATTGGTTATTTTGGGAATGCAAGCGGGTCACATCCGTATAAGCAGACACACACACCAATATTAATTTACTTTGCACACACTCTCAACTCAAATATTATCGGGATTGATGGGTAGACTATACAAAACTCCTTAGGAAATGACCGACTGGAACTACCTTAAGTTATGAAAAAAATTGGATAAAAGTGGAAAATGTAAAATAAAGTAATAAAAAATGAATCTAACAAAGTATATAATATAAAGACATTTATAGTGCTGGTTATTTAATAAAGAAAAGAATTGTATTTTTAAAATACAACTGAGGACATGTATTTGGATAATAGGTTTCTATTAAGATCAATATGAAACCAACCATAATAATACATAATATTAGGTCAGGTTTATTATATACTTATATTCATTATAACAGTAGAACTATATACCTACTAAAACTTGCCTACTAAAAAATCATTTTAATGGTAAAAATATAAAGAAAAATAGAAATAATATTAAATAATAAATATTAATTTATACCGTATCAGATGAACTGTGCATCAAGCCTCTGTATGTTTTCAATTCGGTATTTTTAGCAAAAGACTTAAGAATAGATGCAGTCAACTGGCCCCATTTTAATGGTACAATTGGATCACAATCTCCATGACACTGAATTATGGGCATATTTTTGTTACCTACAGCAGCCTTTAATAAAAATGTATTAATAAATAAAATCATACAAAAAATTAATAGTTGATTCTTACAGCTGGAAAAGTTTTATGTAATGGTATCCAACAAGATAAAGCCATAACTCCAGCTAATGGTTTGTTATAAGTAAAAGCTGAATACAAAGCAAGAGCTCCACCTTGAGAAAAACCACCAAGGGCAATACGAGATGATGGTATATTGGAAGTTTCAATTTCACGATCAATAAGTGAGTGAACTAATTTTGCAGCTTCTTTGATTCCACATTCATCTTCTGGACCTGATTCGTCTAAAGTAAATAAGTCAAACCATGAAGGCATACGGAAACCTTGGTTTAAAGATACTGGCATTGGACTCCTGTTAAATTATGTTAAACATATAAAATAATGAAATAAGATTAACGAAAATAACTTACGCTGATGGGCATATCACTTTCATGTATGGCTGTCTTATTTGTGTCATTGCTTCTGCCCAGCCATTTCTAAAAGAAGAAATAATCAGTTTATGACCATAAAATAAATTAATGATTAAAAAATTATTATTTACTGACTAACTTATAGATATATGAAAACTATTGTTCGCTAAAAAAATTATAAAAAAAGCATAAATCAGTATAATATTAAAACCGAATTACAATTAATTACATTCATCAGCTATCATACATTTTAAAATCTAAAATTGATTTAATAAATACTATTTAAAAGAACTTACATTTTTATACTAGAACAATTTTAAATTTAAATTTTAAGTGATTAAAAATATATAAAATAAACTAGATAAATTAAGAGAACATAATCCATAATCTATATTATAAATAAATAACATACTGTACCCTGAATCTCCAAGACCATGAAGAAATATAACCTAAATAACATAAAAAATACTTGTATTATTGAAATAATTTAATCATAATCTTCTAATAATTTTTGACTATGTAGATTGAAGTAATCTCAATACTTTGTACAACTCAATAGTTTGTTAAAAAATATTAGGGTTTTAATTTCTAAATAAAAAATATACACATATTTTAAGCATTTTAGAAATTAGATTTAACCATTTAAAATATAATGAAAAATCAAAATGAAGGTTATATGTTTTAATTATATTTTTTTTAAAAATGATTCTATGTAAAATGACACAGTTACTCAGATTCATTTATTATATTGGACAATATAAAAAACTAAATGGTTGAAAAAAAAATATTTCAGTTTTAAAAATAAAACAATTTAGCCAAATAGGGGTAGATATAACATTACAAATTACATTTACAAGGTAAATTAAATTAATAAGTACCTATTGAACAAAATTAACAATTCTAAATAAAAATATATATAAAATCGTTAATTTTATTTTATTAAAATCCAAATAATTTAAAGTACAATACTTACAGTTGCCGATTGTTTAACAGATGAAGATATAACCACTGGATTAAGGGACATGATTGCGGAAGAATATTCAAACGTATAACCAGTCAACACAATTAATACGAAAACCAGCGAATTAATCAATCTAATTTGCGCTAATGCCAGTTTTCGAACTGCCGAACCTTTGTGGTTATGTAAATCCATAGAAATGTCGAAAATTTTCATGGAATGTAAAATGTATCCGATACGAAATTTAAAAAACAAATTACATCCGTGCATCAAGTCGTATAAGTATATTACACTTGATTTTGGTAAAAAAATTCAACACTTCACGCAAAATCTTTCTTCATAAAAAACATTTGTATTAATATTCCAGTTACCGACATTAGTCAGCATCAATTTATTTTTCTCATAAACACGTGTTAATAATAAAAGGTAATCGTAAATATTGCCACAGACAGCTGAGGGCCAAACCAGTTGTTAACATGTTATACCGGTCACATGCATGATGAACGTGAAGCACATGCTATCTACACAATCAATTAATGTTAATTGCTTTCAAATTTATTCAATAATATACATACTGATCAATGATCAAGGACAGTAAGGTGACCTATTTACCTGGTGAGTTCAACTACTTATTCATTTTTTTTCTTTATGCCATTGACTGCTGCTCAAACTATTTTATATCTCAATATAATTGCTGTTATACCTATGGCATAATTATCGATATGCATTTATAATGGCTATTTAACTAATTATGTACTATTCATGGGTAAACATTTAAAATATATACCCTAACTCTGCACATTTTATTACATGTAGTAAAATATAATTTTTACTTTAATAATAAATAGCCAATAAAAACTTAATCCAAATATTAAATTATTTTTTTTTACTTTAAAAAATATACATTGTTACAATTTAATTTTTAAAGTTTTACCATCATAGTCTCTGTAAATTATATTTTTGATTTTATTTCATTTATTTATTTCAAATTTTAAAACAATATTTTTTTAATAGTAATTTTAAAAATTTTATTAAATACCAGAAAAATCACTTAAGATTTTAATTAATTATTTCTAGTTAAAACTAAACATTATTATACCCAATGTGTACGCGTATATACTTTGGTTTATGATCAGTGGTAGCTCGATGCAGCTGATGAAGGGAGTGCGACGATATGAAAAAATGTTTATCTATTCCTGTACCATTTATTTATACTTATTTGTTTTTATAATATACCATTATTTTTGACATAATTATTTTATTATTATCCAAATGCTAACATAAGATCACGGTTTAAAACTCACGCGATTAAATAAGACGCTTAGATAATCGACAATAATTAAATTCATTATCTCATAATCGAAAACCATATCTGCGGGTAAACTATTCAGAATAGTTTGGAAAAAAATATCATTGATAATAATATGTTTGGACGACGCAATGCGACATAATCATATCTACACATACATGTTCCTGCGGTCCAACATGATACATACAATATTATACAAAATAACGATTTTCGTCCGAAAGCAGAGGACGGCAGCTATCCCTCAGCACTCACCAATGGTAGGTTGATACGCATGCGAAGCATTCGTGTACTTATGGCATACGCACATGGTAACCTCTGCGGTCATATTCAACAAAATTTATAAAATTATTATTTTGATTATTTGAAAATCACCACTTTAGTGTTTTAAACATTAAATAATTTAATAAATTATTTATAAGTATTTTATTACAATCAGAATTGTCTTCTTTTCATAAATATTAGTCGTCTAAGCCACGAGCCACCACTGTATATTATAGATAAGTGAACACTTCAAGAATCGCCGCAATGGACTGGGATGGTACTATAATGGTATATACTCTTTACATTACTCCTCATAGGCGTGCGAACGGGTATGGCTTATAGGGCTATTGCCACACCTGAGACTTTTTTTTAGGTAGGTACTAGGTACTTAGGTAAAAAGGGCTAATAAATCTTTTTTTTTTGGAAAATCTAAAGTTTTTTTTTTATTAATTTTATCAAATTACAAAAAAATGAAAATTGCCGGGACTGGCATTCATTGATAATCAGATTGTGCATAAGTTTTACTAATAAATTTTATTTCTACTTACTTATGTTTTGTATATCTATTTTTTTTTTTTATAAGGGTTTTATGAGGGTGTGGGTGATCAAAAAAAAATAAAAGCCGCACCGGAAATAGGAATCTGCGCACGCCTATGTTACTCCTGTTTATCTAGAGTCTAAACTTTTAGGGAATTGCAAGATTACAAGCTATGATTTTCTTTCCTTGTCGTATTACACGCGTAACAAAAAAATGTAAACGTTTTCTATTTCCAACGTACAGTCCTGTAAAAAATATTATTTAAAAATATTCAAATATGAAAATAGATACTTAAAAAAAATATTCAGAAATACTTTGAAATATTTAAAAAAATGTCATAACGTAGGTCCGTTACCCCAGCACCACCAAATTATATATACAACTCCAAAATTATCCTATCGATTGTTATTTCATTTATATAGATTTGTAATCGTCATTTGAACATTTGTACACCTCCCAAAAATCGGGAAAATCAACTTTTTCGTGGCGGTATAATTTCTATAGATATTTTAACAGTAAAGTTTTGAAATTATATGCCAATGATAACACGACGATCTACGGTATAGGATAGACATTACGACGGCCGTGTGATTATATTATATTCCAGTTATTGGAACGTCAGCGTGCGATAGCTTACTATAAATAAAGTGATTATACGTCCCAATCGTCCCGTATGCATTGGCGGATTAGGGGGCAGGCTAAAAGGCTTATAGCCTAGGGCGACATTTTTGGGAGGGCGGCTTTTTTTTTTTTATAGAATTAAGCATAGGCGCAACTAGACCAATAATTTTAGGGGTGCACAAATAATGAAGAGCTCATAGACCCGTGGGGGCAAAGCCTTCACAACCCCAAACCACTAATCTAATTACTCTCCACATTACACTTAAGAAAAAATAACTATTAATAATTATTTCAATATAAATACTTTGTTTTAATAATTATAATACAATTTATTTAACAAAATTAAATAATTAGATCTACCTACCTACCTATTTTAACATTATTTTCCCTCTCGGCCACCAAAGTCTGAACACGCCTATGCATTAGATATTATACAATTTGTCTATACAGATATATCGTATATATAAATTATATATAGTACAGGGTCCCTGGATACATAATAGGTACCTATTTTTTTCAATATACATTTATGGTACCTACATTTTTTTTGGAAAAAGGCTTATATTTTTTGGGGGTGCACATTTTAAACTTGGGGTGCACAAGTCTCCTGTGCACCCCCCTAGTTGCGCCAATGGAATTAAGTGTTATTATTGACTAATTAGGTATATTTATTTTAATACATTTTTTTTATATTTATCATATAAACGTGAAAAAAAATAATTTTTTAAAAGTTATAATAATATATTGATATGTACATTGTATGATGCGTACCTATAGGCTATAGTAAGAATATTACAATTATTATTATAATTTGAAAATATTTCATTTGTAATAAAATAATTACGGTTAGTTACTAGTTATTATTAATAACTTATTAGTACCTATGCACTTGTTGGGAACATCCGACTATCGGAGTATAGGTATTTTTATATCTGGCTATTTATATTTCCGTTTTGTGACTGTATAAGCATTGTTTATTTGTACTGGTAATAATGGTATCTGAAATAAAATAATAGACATGAAATATTTTGTTTTTAGAAGTTTTCTATTTTATATATACCTATTTTAAAAACCCTACTTATTATACAAACATATGTATAGATTGTAGATTACTTAATAAAAAAACTGAATAGAGTTTCAAGAGAAGGGCTTAGACCAAATATTGTTGGTTCTATAGTAGAGTAATAGGGGGGGGGGGCAGAGTGATTAAGCCTAGGGACGCCCAAACGCTAAATCCGCCACTGCCCGTATGTCAAGATTATACAAGATTGCCCCGTATTTCAATTTGTGCTCCATTGTCCCAACAAAGGACGCATTTCGTACTGATTTTTCAAGTCCATCTCGTATTAATCTCGTTTTCCCTTACTGTTAATTTATAACTTTTTGCAAATTTATTTTATAAAAATAATCGTTATTTCTACGATATTATATGACAATATTCATTGATATAATTGAATCTATACTTTTCAGTGATATTTTTTGATTCTTGTTTCGACTAAAAAACAAATAATGGTACATCGTTGTCGCAATGTGAAACAGTACGTACATTATTATTATTATGCTTGTGGTAACAATCCCACCCACTGCAGACAATTTGTTGTCAAATGTATGCATGATGATTACTGTTATATCTAATTATATTTTATAATATCCACAATATGATATCAATAATTGATGTAAAATTATTTTCGGATTTTTTTAACATTCATGTGTTGTGGAGAGATGAACAAATTCCTTTTTTTGGTATAAACTATCAAATCAACTATCTCTGTGTAAAAAAAAAAATTAAAAAATCATTATTTTAATGAATTTTATTGTATTTAGATATTTTGTTAAAAGAAATTAAGTTACTAGATGCAATTAGTTCAACACAAATCACAAATGAACACAAAAATAACAAAATACATTTTTTTTGATTAGATATTTAGACATTTTTGATTATGATTAGAATAAATGTATGTATATTTGTAATATATTATGTAGGTATAACTTTCAACTCACAAGAAAACAAACTACATGATACATTCAATACGTATACAAATAAAACAATATCTAATAATGGTGATTACATGTGTAAAACTAGCTATTCTTATTACGTATGACGTATATAGTGTTTATGCTAGTGTGTAGGTCTAGATATTTTAGATGATGGAAAATTTTGATCGTATTTTACGAACTTCATCGGGTAGCCACAGGCTATGTCAATAGCGGCCTTCTGGAATTCCCGAATGCTGTCGGATAATACAGCTTGAATAGAGTTTAATACTATATTTAATAATATAAATAGTTTATGCTAAAAATTGAAATACATTTATAACTGGACTGAGAAAGTGTTGTCATTATACCGTTTCATCAAGAATTGAATGGTTGTAACGTGTATATATTTTTATTGTTTGATAAAATCAAAAGAATTTATAGTGTTTATTATATTGTCATTATTTTAAACAAAATTAAGGTAAGTAAAAAATTTATTTGTTTATTAATTTGATATTATTAATATTATTAGTATATTTACTGTCGGATAAAAGACAATATGTAGCGATTGATAATTTAGTGCCCATCACACTAGAAAAAAAAATCAAACGTAAAAATACGTTTTAATTAAGTATATCAGAATTAAAATTAATTGTCATATAATATAATACTCTAG